GAAGAATGTGTTTTCAAAATGTGAAAAAGAAACAATCTTTTTGCTCCAGAAATTGAAAGGTCTCGTTCAGACATCAGAGTTAGATGTTTCAATTTCTCGGTGATATTATTCTCATTCTGATGCACAGTGTGTGTGTCTTGGTGTCTTTGTGTGTGTTTCATGTGAATAGGCAGATCCTATGTTTGTTTGTGCATGTTTGCAACCCCCTCTCTCTCTCCTTGTATTTGTGTGTCTATTTTTGCTCTTTGTGTGTCTCTGTTTCTCTCTCTCTCTCTCTCTGTGTCTCTCATTCTGTATATCTGTGTGTGTGTATGTCTCTCTCTCTCTCTCCCCATCTGTCCCTGTTTAACCTCTTCCTCCTTCCCCTCTCTCTGTGCTTCTCTGCCTCTTTCTGTCTGTCTCCCCCTCCCTCTCTGAGTTTCTGCCCCCTTCCTCTCTCCCTTTTCTCTCTCTGACTATCCCTCCCATTCTGACTGTGTCTGTTGGTCTGTTTCTTTCTGTAACTCTGTCCCCCCCTTTCTGACTGTGTCCCTCTCTGAGAGAAAGAGAGCTCTGAGAGAGACTCTGTCTCTGTCTCTCACTCTCTGCCCCACTGGCTCTCTTGTCTCTGTCCCTCTCTCCCATCTCTGTCCCTCTCTCTCCTGTCTCTGTCCCTCTCTGTCTCTGTTCTCACTCACCCCACCCCACCCCTGTCTCTCTGTCTCTGTCTGTGCCTGTGTGTGTGTGTTTAACTGGGAGCTGGAAACTGGCTGATTTTGAGTGCGGTTCCTTGGCTCACTGGGACTGTCAAAGCTGTGTGACTGGACTGACACTGGCCAGACAAGTGAAGTTAGTCTAAAAAGTATCGTAGAGAGCAGAGCTCAAGCGTGTGGAAATACACCGTGGGGATCTGTCAATGTCTGAACGTAACAGAGGGAGAGCCCAGGGAGAGTTTGAATCTGTGGCTCAGTTGACATGCTGGAGGAGTATTCCGACTTGTCCCTGAGATTGCTTGTGATTGACGGGCTGTAATTGATATTACTCCCCCGCCCCCCGCACACGCTCACAAGACAAAAGCTCATCTCGGCAGCTAACAGCGATTGACACATTGGCTGACATATCCAATTTCTTTCTCTCTCCAGAGCTGCGGGCATGTGTTCCTAAACTGGCTTTTCAGTCAGTTAATGGCCCACTCCCCCCACCTCACCCTGTTCCCAGGGGGACCCCGGCTGACAAAGGGTTGATTGTTCCTTCACCCCTGCTCGATGTTTGATATGTTTTGCTGGGGGCCCCCAGGGTGTGGAGGGTTGGCTAAGTCTCCACAAGGCCTGGGCATTTGGCCCGGGTGAGTGGTGACAGTGGGTACTGGGAGTGAGGGGCAAGGGCTGAACCCGACCTGGATAACCCCCAGACCTGGTAGCATCTATGTGTTTTATTTTCACCTTCCTGGTTTAGAATGAATGAAATGTCTTGCATTTAGATAGCGCCTTTTACACTCGCTGAACACCACAACGCACTTTTACGGTTGGCCGAGTATTTTGACGCATCCTTTCATGAGCAATGCAGCGATCAATTTGCGAACAGGAAGCTCCCACAAGCAGAAGCAGTGTGAAATGACCAGCAGGGATGTTGGGTAATGGGTGAATATATTTACCAGGGATTACCAGAGTGTCCCTCCTCTTCTGAAAGCAGGTGTGAGATCTCTTCAAGCCCAGGTAGGGCCTAGGTTTCCTTTCTTATCTGAAGAACAGCAACAATGCAGCACTCCCGCAGCACTTCAGCAGAGACCCAGCCTCAGTTATGTGCTGGAGTGGGACTTTAAGCCTCAACAATAAAAAAACAAGCAGCTGTGTAAGAGTCTTTAATGTAGCAAACAGCCAAAGGATCATTAACCCACAATTACCGATCTCGCGTGAGGCAGCTATCACTTAACCACTGTCATAGAGGATAGAATCCTTTCATAGAACCCTATGCTGTGGAAACAGGCCAATCAGCCCATCAAGTCTGCACCAACCCGCCAAAGGGCATTCCACCCTGTTCCTGTGACTCTGCATTTCCCATGGCTAACCCACCTAGCCGGCACATCCCTGGATACTATGGGCAATTTAACATGGCCAATCCACCCTAACCTACACATCATTGGACTGTGGGAGGAAACTGAAGCACCCGGAGAAAACCCACGCAGACACGGGGAGAATGTGCTAACTCCACACAGACCCACTGAAGGGCATCAGCTCAGTTGCCGCCCTGCTTGAGTTGGCATGAACTGGGAAGGATGCCTACCTTGCTGCAGTTCAGTTAGTGTGGGCGCTATTTGGCGCACAAGGCAGAATGATGGCCCTGGGCTCTGACCAGGTCAGTGTATTCGATGTTTAATTCTTGCTGGGAGTGGTGTGTGAGGGTGTGACTGGGCTGAGTCCTATCCATCCATAATCAATAGTCTGCCGGCTTCGTCCCTTCAGGCTGGAGTCACAGAACAAACAGCTTAATAGATCAGACAGAGTTGGTGGAGATAGATAACAATGTCACTGTGTCAAGGTGATGGGGGTGGAGGGGCTTGGCACCAATATTCATTGACCACTGCTCCACAGAAACAGAGCTGGAGAGAATCAGAGGGAAGGAGAGAGTCAGAGATAATGATGACGGAAGAGTGGAAATTAGATTTCCAAGATCTGCCATATTTTGTTTTTGTGGCACCTTCAGTTTTTTTCAATTCATTTATGAGATGTGGGAATCCCTAGCCAGGCTAGCACCTGATAACTTTCCTTAATAGCCCTTGAGGGTCAGCAGGTTGGTGTGATTCCTAATAGCTTGTTTTGATTTGATTTTGATTTTATTACCACATGTTCTGACGTATAGGCGTACAGTGAATATTGTATAATGTCGCCACACATCTTGGGAAAAGTACCTGGCCACAGAATCTTGAGAAAAAGTTAGAAAGAAAGAACACAGTTAAAAGTTAAAGGTTGCTGTAATTATAGTATGGTGTAAAACATACGAAATAAGGTTAAAAGTTACACATTGCAGGCCTTCTCAGTTTTAAGTGGAAAATAAACAAACAAAACTGAAAGTTCAAACATTACAGTCTTTCTTCAGTGCTGAGCCATGGTGGGACCTCCCTTCTAGGAATTCATTTCGAGACCAGAAGTTCACGCTGAAGCCGTGCTGGTTTTGATGTCCAATACAAGTGGATTTCTTAGACATTTCAGAGGGCAGTTAAGAGACAGTCATATTGCTATGAGAATGCCATCATGTATAGGTCAGACCAAGTATGGAAAACAGATTTCCCTCCTCAAAGGATATCGATGAACCAGACAGGTTTTTACGCCTCTACAGTCGTTTCATTGTCACTGCCTTTTATTAATTCCACATTTAATTAAATTTAAATTCTTGTACTGTGAAAGTTGTTTAAGTGTCTCCTGATCGTTGGCCCAGGCCTTGGGAATACTCATCCACTGTAGCTCTCTCTATTTGAGAAATGTCGGTGGCATCCTCAGCCCATTTCCCCAAAATATAGACAAAATCTTCAGGGCTGGGTGGGCGAGACAATGCAGCAAAGTTCAGTTTGCCAAGCAGGGACAGGAGTAAATGGGCAAAATACAATCAGTGCCTTTTTTTTGCCCTTAACCTCCTGCCGAAAACTGAAAGGGAATCAGTGTAGGAGTGGGGTTTGCTTTTCCAGCCAGCAAACGCTGGGTGTTTTCCTTCCTGTGGCTGGAAAATGAAATTTCCTGACTTCTCCTCTCCACCTTCCAGCTGTCTCATCACTCGTCCTGTTTTATGCAGTTTGGACCCTACGCCCTGTGTTCGGAAAGCTTCTGAATTTAATTCTCAGGAACACCCTACAGGTCGTGACCCTGCCTGTGCAAACGTAGGTTTGAGATGCTCTCAGTCTGTACCTGTGTGTGTCTTTCCTTTAACCAGCTTTCTTTGTTGTGCAATGAGCTGACAAAACCCCATCAATGAACCATTTCTCTTATCAGCCACTTGGTTTTACAGAAATTGACAATTGCTGGAAAAAGATACATGCTGTCAAAATGTCTTTGTCATGCAAACACCAGGACAAAATCACAAGGATACCAAACATGTAAGTGATAACACTTTGTACTGAATGAGAAGAGGGCTATTCTTCAAGGCATCACTCTGCATTCAGATTGCACTTGCCAACCATTCAGCAGTCTCTTCTCATCCAGGATAAATTGTTGTTCCCTTTATGATTTGGCATTCTTGCAATTCAGTCCTGATGAGTGCAAAATGAAAACTTTGACAGTACGTTGTTTTCTTTCAGCACTTCCCTTTCTCTTCACTAGGTTCCCTCCTCTCCTCGAACGCAGTTTTCTCACTTGCATTGTCCAGACTCTCGAGCTGTTTGAGTTTAGAAGCACCGGATTTCAGTTAGATGTCGGGTATTTTGTAATTGGGCTGAACGCCTCTGGGGTTTAGGAACTGAAGAAGAGAACTGACCCGTTATCCTGACTGTCAGTTGCTTCCCAGGCTGAGAAACAAGCATATGTGGGCACTGAGATCAGGGAGGAGTTACTGATTCTGATCAGAGCCAGATAGCCTGGGGTTTTGTAGTGCCCACTACCTGATCTGTTGATGGACCACCCGACCAAGACGTAGAACTTGAACATTTCCCAAGCCTGAGGATGACAGTTAAGGTGACAGAATAAGGTAGGCAGCATTGAAAGAATGAGAAAGATGGTACCCATGGTGATGAATCTGCTGTCACCTATTTTATTCCCTGTGTACTTGTGAGAGAAATTAACGATTATCTGCCAGTTCACTCTTGCCACGTATGTGTGTTGGTATCAAATGTTCGACCTCAACTTTATTTACACATTGCAATTTGTCACCTTTTACGAAGCTTCTCTCTCTACTTTATTGAGAGACTCTCAGTTCCTGGTGCCCACAGGCCGTGGAATACAGATTTTTAACACATTACAGAAACAATTACGCATTCAACGAGCGCTGAGTGTATAATGTGTCTCTTTTGTGTTTTAATTTGTGCCCGCTGACAGGTCATTATTCTCGAAGACTACGCTGATCCATTCGATGCTAAGCAGTCTGGTGTGACCCAGGTTGGACAGGAGAAAGTGACTGAGAATGATGGCTACATGGAACCTTATGAAGCCCAAAAAATGATGGCAGGTAATAAATGAATATATATTATAAAAGGTCATTTTGTACAGAGCTGAGCCTATAACGTTTCCAGGCGAGCTCTGTTTAATGTGGGCCAGTTTCGGTATTGAATTATAGTCTACCCACACTCTCCTTATTGCAATGCTTTGTTGGGTGGAATTGAGGTGGATTTACAATGAGTGAATAAAGCCAGGGGCAAGTATCTTGTCAGTTTTAACACCAACTTGCATTTATAAAGCACCCTATAATTTAGTAAAAGCATTTCAAGGTGTTCCACCTTGGAATATTATCGAGTATCTTCTGATACTGAGTCCCAAAGAAAGGCAAAAGCTTGGTCAAAGAGGTAGATTTTAAGAAGCATCTTGACGGGGGCCGGAAGAGAATTCCAGAACTGAGGACCCAGGTCGTTGCGCGCGTGGCCACCGGTAGTGGAGTGAGTAAAACCTCACTGACCAACCCCCACCCCGATCTCCTACCTACCAACCTCATCCCCGCCTCCTTGACCTCTCCGTCTTCCTTGGACTGACCAACCCCCACCCTAACTCCCCACCTGCACTCACTTTTACTGGCTCCATCCCTGTCTCCTTGACCTGTCCGTCTCCTCTCCATTCCTTTATCCACCTTCCATCCACCTCCCCCCCCCGCACCACCACTTCCTTATTTATTTCAGAATCCCCTTCTCCTCCCCCATTTCTGAAGAAGGGTCCAGACCCGAAACGTCAGCTTTCCTGCTCCTCTGATGCTGCTTGGCCTGCTATGTTCATCCAGCTCTACACCTTGTTATCTCAGATTCTCCAGCATCGGCTGTTCCTACTATCTTAAGTAAAACCCGGGATGTGTTCTGTACATTTGCTCCACCATTCATTTCTCCTTGCAAATGAGCGCGACCTCAGGATTGAGCACCGTGTTTTATAGTCGAACATAGAATCCCAGAATTGTCATGGGGCAGAAGATGATCATTGGGCCCATCACACCTGCAGTAGCACAGAAAGAGACCCTTTGGTCCAACCAGTTCATGTTGAACATAATCCCAAACTAAACTGGTCCCACCTGCCTGCTCCTGGCCCATATCCCTCCCAACCTTTCCTATTCATGTACTTATCCAAATGTCTTTTAAATATTGTAATTGTGCCCACATCCACCATTTCCTCAGGAAGTTCATTCCACACACGAACCACCCTCTGTGTAAAATATTTGCCTTCATGCCTTTTTTTAAATCTCTCTCCTCTCACCTTAAAAATGTGCCCTCTAGTCTTGAAACTACCCATCCTAGGGAAAGACAATTACCATTAACTCTATCTATACCACTCATGATTTTATAAACTTCTATAAGGTCACTTCTCAACCTCCTATACTCCAGTGAAAACAGTCCCAGCCTATCCAGCCTTTCCTTATAACTTAAACTTTCCATACCTGGCAACATCCTGGTAAATCTTCTCTGAATCCTCTCCAGCTTAATAATATCCTTCCTGTAACTGGGTGACAAGAACTGGGCACAATACTCCAGAAGAGGCCTCCCCAATGTTCTGTATAACCTCAACGTTACGTCCCAACTCCTATACTCAAAGGATTGAGCAATGAAGGCGAGCATGCTAAACACCTTTTTAACCACCCTGTCTATACATCAAGTGAGCACTATTACCTAGTGCCAATTTTTCCCCATACCCTCACACTCTATGTCTATTCAAATAATCATCCAATGCCCCAATGAACCTGCTTCCACATTTTCCAGACCATGTGTTTCATACCCGAAACTACTCACTGGGTGAAAAAGGGTTTTTCTCCCATCTCCCTTCCTGCTTTTGGCACATCACTTTAAAATATTGTGGGGTTGCACCTCATTCTAGGTCCTGAGCTTGGTGCAGGTCCAGATCACTTGGCTCCTCACTGTTTTAAACTCCCTCCCTGCTGGCTGCCTCATGTAGCTCCTATATTGTCAACTTCTCTGACTCTATTGCATCTGCAGTGCAAAGTGCTGTTTAGACACCAGCGGAATTCAGTCCCAAACTACTTTACCCCTGCAGCCAGCACCACCAGAAAATAGCTGGACTGTTCACCCATCTCCTTACTGGGATCCTGCTGTGCACGCTTTGGCTGCAGTACTTGTCTAGACGATAGGGTGACCGCAGTTTGGATGTGAAGATATTTTCCACTCGCAGGCATGCTGGAAATAGAAATATTTCTTGCCCTTTTTTTAAAAATTTATAACAATTTCTTGCCCTCTCTCACTCTCACACCCCCCTTCCCCCCGCTCTCCCGCCCCCCTCGCTCTCCCACCCTCCCGCCCCCCTCATTCTCGCCCCCCGACCCCTCACTCCCCCTCCCCTCCCCCCTC